ACAAGTTCATCCTTCTATGTACCACATAATGCTCCTCTCCTCTTTCTCTCTTTTGCAATTTCGTTTCCATCCGGTCTCTTGCTAGCATCTTCATCCTCCTCGTCATCATCCTCAACGGGTATGTTCAACCTTGACCACTTTGGAGTGTTCTTGTCCTTTCTCCGAATACACTTCTCATTGATCACAAGCTCTTTTGTAGTAATGATACAATGTGAAGGGCTTGTGGCCGAACTTCCTGTTTCTTTGTTTGAAGAGGCCTCGATGATAGGGCCATATTCGGTGACTATCACACCGCTCAGTGGTGCATGGTTCACTTGATCAATGACCATCGATTGCACTAGTCTTGCATGGTACCCCAACGATGGCCAGGGAAAGAGCGCTCGTACCCAGCCACTACTAGAGTTTCTCCCGCCTCTCGCCTGCGCCGGCGCCAGTCCACCTCGTCTCCTATGGCCTTAGGGTCATGGAGGCGTGGTGGATCCCGACCCTTGCCGGCGGGAGGGCTTCATTTTTGTATACTTTTATGAGTTTTTTTATGGTTTGTGTCCTACTCAGAGAGATGAGGCAAAGGCGGAGGGTGTGTGGAGATTTGTCTCCGGCAGATCTCGCGGGATTCAGTCGGCGTTTGTCTTCCGTGGATCCATGTGGATCTGGTCTTTGTCCGTGTGTGTTTATGTGTCTGCAGGTTGAAACCTTCTGATCTAAACTTCTCTTCAACGGACAACAGCGACGGTTGTTGTTCTGGTACGCTAGTCCTTTAGGGTCTTAACACGACGACATCCCAACTGTCTACTACAACAAGTTTTGGCCGACTCCAGCGAGGATGGGGTGAAGACGGCGGTGCGCCTTCGTCTCGCTTCAGTGCCAGTAGTCGTCGCTATGTGGTCTATGAATCTGGATGCAATTTTTATCACTTCTGATATCCGTTATACTACCATGATTAATGATGGGTAGATTGAAAGTTTTCTCGTAAAATAAAAACTATTTTTTACTCTCCTAAAGATTTTTAGGGGGTCGGCTAGAGCTGTCTGAACTAGAGCAGTAGTGCAGAAGAGCTAGTGCAGAAACCGGTACTAGTATTTTTTAGGGCGACGCTAGGCGCTGGCGCACTAGCGGAACGGTTGGGCCGGTCGAGCCCTGGCCACCCGATACGCGCGATTAAAATCGTCAGATCTGACCCCAGCTTCGTCCTCCTCGTAGTCGCCCTCACCCCCTCCCACTCCCCTGCGATAAAAATTGCAGCGCCGCGGACGCTCCGCACCCCCGCGGCCCCACCATACCTCCCCCTCTCAACTTGAAACACCACCGCGGCGTCCTCGTCGCCGGTCGGCGCCCTCCCCGTCTGTCCTCGTCGCTAGTCGCCGCCCTCGTCCCTGGCTCCACTCATGCAATAGCTGCGCCCTCTGGTTGCAGCTTCGCGTGGCGATGGATGTAGCTTGGTGGCGATGCAGCACCGCCCATGCCGTCGACCACCATGCCGGATTGAAGCTCTCCTTTCCATGGCCATTGAAGCTTTTTCCAAGGTTGAAGCTTTTCACGGACCGGTTGAAGCTTTTCCAGCAAAATCATATTATGGATCCAGCAAAACCGGATTATGGTTCCAGCAAAAAAAATATGTGTTTCCAGCAAAAAATGAGACGGTTTCAGCAAAACATTGATATGCTTGTCGCAAAAAAATTACATGGATCCAGCAAAAAAATCGTGTGTTTCCAACAAAAAATGAGATGGTTTCAGTAAAACATTGATATGCTTGTCGCAAAAAATTACATGGATCCAGTAAAATCAGATTATGGTTCCAGCAAAAAAACACAAATGCAGCAAAAATCACCGTGGTCGTAGATTTTTTGGTGGGTGGGTGGTAGCAAAAACATGGGTTGGTTCCAGCAAAATCAAAGCATGGTTGTAGCAAAAATCGATTGAGAAAACAGACAATGTCATGGAAATGGATGTAGCAAAAATCCACAAAACACCGGTAGTAACAAAAACCAAACCGGATGTAGCAAAATGGTTCACCGGTTCCAGTAAAAAATCACCATGGTAGTAGATTTTTGGGGGTGGGTGGTAGCAACATGGTTCGTCGGTTCCAGCTCTTCCGCTGCACGGTTGCAGCAAAATCCCATGCCCCGTCGTGCATGAGGTCGTGCTCACCGTCTTGCTGGATGTAGCATGGACTTCGCCGGTCCAGCTAGGCATCGACCGCTAGTAGCGGCGTCCGTCGCTGTTTCCACCACTTGCCTTTGCTGCTTGCAGCTCCACCAAATCTGGTTGCAGCCCGCCTCGTACAACACGTCAAACTGGCCGTACTCCGGCGAGCAGTTGCAGCGGTGCCATGGCAGCGAATGCCGGTGGTGGCAGTGGGGGCTTGCGGGAGGGGAAGGAGAGGTTGCGGAGAGGACGAGAGCGGCAGCACGGGGGCAGTGGGGAGGAGAAGAACGAAGACAGGGATGTCTCGTACTCCGGTGAGCAGTTGCAGTGGTGCCACGACAGCGAACACCGGCAGTGGCAGCGAGGGCTTGCGGGAGGGGAAGGAGAGGTTGCGGAGAGGACGAGAGCGGCATCACGGGGGGAGTGGGGAGGAGAAGAACGAAGACAGGGAGGTCTCGTACTCCGGTGAGCAGTTGCAGCGGTGCCACGGCAGTGAAACGCCGACGGTGGCAGCGGGGGCTTGCGGGTGGGGAAGGAGGGGTTGCGGAGAGGACGAGAGCGGCGGCGCGGGAGGAGTGGGGAGGAGAAGAACGGCGACCGGGGGGTAGGGGATGAAAAACGGTGAAGAAGATAAGGTATATATACACGCGTCTCACGCGGAGGGCACAGTTCGATGGGTGCACAAGGCCAGCGTGGCACGAGGCCGGCCGAAAATTCGGCTGGCGCACCGCACACAAGGGTCAAAGCGAGCACGACGGGGACATGCCAGTGCACACCACTACCAAGTCAATTTCCAGCCCCCGGTCGCCCAACAAGATCTTATCACAGCATCTGCAATGAAAATACAAAACCATCAATAATTCACCACAATCCAATCTTCCCTCCCGCGTTTGCTATGTGCGATGTAACTGTCCGACGGCGCGCACCATCAGTGGTTCACGCGCGCTCGGAAAAACTTGTACCACTGATTGCCCAGGTTCCGTGACAGGCAGATCTCAAAATAACTCCAGACCGAGTGACTGTGCGCTGCTGTGCTGACTCGATCGTGCCCTGGTGCTTGGGCAAGAGAGTCACTGCTGCTCGCGTCAGTCTTAAGAGAGACCGACCTTCAGAAGCGCCGATCTAGTCCGGTCTCCGCGGTGCTCAGCGCGCATCCGTGTTAGCAATCGAGTTATTCCGACGTACGGGCCATGCATGCCTTGTGCCGACCTGCTCGGCCGCCGTCGATGCTGAGCTTCTTCTGGTTAGCGGATGGCCGTGTACTATGATCATTTTCTTGTTGTTGAGGAATTTATGATCAGTATTTCGTTGGTCAAGGAAAAGGATCGTGCCCTAGATGCATGCCGAGTCGGGTCGATGTATCCGCACGTCCATGATCAGGTACAAGCCTGCTTAGTTCCATGGAGAAATGGTTCACAAGTCTAATGTATTTTTTTTTCTTGACAGTTATAAACTCCAAAATGTAGCTTTTCTTGGTTTGGTCAGGGTCTGATCATCTGACGACTGACTTGCCTGGGCATCATTCGATGCTGACGTTCGAGAACTTAAAAAGAGTAGGAGAACTCGTTCCAAATTTGACGAATCTTTTACAGGAGGAGTACAACTACAAACTCGTCGGTTGTTCCATTAGTTCGTCATGTCAAACCACAGGTATATTCCACTATCAGCAACTCGAACCGTTGTTTTTTACTGAGCAGATATTCAACACATCCGTGCTACGATCGCCTGTATATAATAAAGGGCCGATTTGTTGTTTACGCATGTACTATGATTCGTATTTCATTGTAAAATAGATGCGGAGGCCTTTATTTTGACCATGCACAATCACCTATTTCTTTCCTCTTGTACTATATAGGGTCACATAAAGTTGTGTTATCTCCACATGCCATGAAACATCCAGCTATTTCTGAAACATTTTTTTTTTCAGGATTCAGACGCACGATGTCAGAATTTCGTACCACAAATCAATTTGCTTGGCATTGCCCTGCCTACAGGCTAGCCATGACATATGGTCATCGTCACTAGCTAATTGTTCTGTCTTCAAGTCTGGTACCCTGTGCCCGAGGGAAACGGACTTTGTGTTGTGTTGCAAACTCTGAACTACTAGAGCAGCAGCAGAGCTAGTGCAGAAACGGGTATTAGTATCTCACAGGTCAATGCGAGCACGGCGGGGACATGGCAGTGCACACCACTGCCAAGTCAACTTCAGGCCACCAATCGCGACATTGGGGGCCTGAAGTTGACTTGGCAGTCGTGATCGGGTTGTTCCGACGGGTCGTGCGTTCTGTTGGCCTGCTCGCTGCCGCCAACGCTGACGTTCCAGAGCCTCTTCTTTTGGCTAGCCGAGCAAGTGTCCGTCTGATCTTTGACGAGTTTGTTGGGGGCAGTAGCAGTACCGTACCAACTGGATCGTCAGATATTCAACGAGTTTGTTAGTTAAGAGCATTACTAGTAAAGCCTTCAAACCCTCGAACCCCTAAAAATAACTGTTTTTTACAGTTTTCGTCGAAAAAACGCCGTAAACTAGAACCTCTAAACCCTCAAACCTGTAAAAAAAATTTAGAGATCCAACGCTCAAACCAGTTTGCAATCTGTGGAAGTAGGGGTTGAGAGGAAAATCTCCCCCCAACCCGCACTCCTCTTCCTCTCTCGCGCGGGAGGCAACTGCCTCCTCCTTCCGGCCTCCTCCTCCCGCCGCCTCCTGCCGCGGCAGCCATGGAGGGCCGCGCCCGCCGCGCCCGTCCTGCCTGCCTCGCCCGCCCCCGCCCCCGTCCCGCCCGCCTCGCCGATCCCTCGCCGGCAGTCCGGCAGTCGGGGCGCCACCGGCTCTCCACCGGCCCGCGCGCCGCCCGTCCATGGCGAACCCGAGGAGGGCCATCACACTGCAAATCAACACGCAGACCCCGCCATTCCCCGCCGCCGCCGCCGCGCCCTCGTCCTCCTTGCTTCCTTCGTCGCTCCTCCACTTCCTGAAGCGGCCGGCGTCCTTCCCCTTCCTGCTCTCCCTCTTCGTCCTCCTCACCTGGATCTCCCTCCACTTCCACCAACCCACCCCCTCCGCCTCCCTTCAGTGCCCCACTGTCGCCACAGCCCGCGAGGCCGGCCTCCCTGGTGAGCTCCCCCTTTGCCTCGCGAATTCTAGTTTTCAGTTATGCTCTCTGTTGTTAGCTCGCTGCACTAAGTTGTTTTAGTAAAAGAGTTGGAATGTGGCAGGGATGATGTAGAATAAAGAGTGAATTCCGGTTTTTACCCCCTATTTTGACATTTTTGACACTAATTACCCCATTTAGCAAGATTTCATCCATTTTACCCCATTTAGCAAAAATGTTGCCACAGTTTACCCCGTTTAATTTTTTTGAGCATTCTGACTGATGGGTCACAATTGTCGGGTCCAGCTGGCATGCCACGTCAGTGGTTTTTCCTGGCTATTTTTCTCACTGCTGAACTGGGCAGCGCCGCTTCTTCTGACCGGCTCAGCCGATGGAGGTCGCTCGCGGCACGTCCAACGTCCAAGTCGGTCGCGCGCCACGCTCGCCTCCCATGGCTTCTCGTTTATGTTGCTCTCCCCCAATTAACATTCAAACTGATTTTCTTATAAGCATCAAGTTCCTCTAGCATGTTCACCATGCCTGCATCATCTGTTAACTCAATCATGGAGTTCCCGTTGGCCCCCTTCTTCTGATAATTAGCGCTGTCCCAAGGGTTGGAACCCAATTCCTTCATCTTCTCCTTTATATCAAAATAAATAATGAAATACCTCTCAATCATCTCTGGCTCTGGATTCTTTTATCTACGGACATGTAAAATATGCCTAACACTCTACATCTCCGTTGCCATCCGCTTTGTGCAAGAAAAAGAAAAATGAATTAGTGGCTGCAATCATAATATACTCTAATACGGTGAACGAACACGTTTCAGCATGCATCATAAGATACAAAGATCCAAACTTCCTTTACAGCTAGCAAGTAACAACACATACTCTTCAGTCAACATATTTGCTACCTAGATATTTAGATATGTAGGTGCATCAGAGTTAGTAAAGTAGTATATTTACACCACTTTAATCTAATCTACAGAACCATCCATACTTAAGGCCATATATGATAACTGAAGAAAAACATACATGATTTTAGATTATATTGGTAACAATTTCTCCTATAATTTATTCAATGGTAATATGACATGCTGATCAAGTACAATCGTCCCATCAGAATACTTCAACCCGGAAATGAGTTTAGTAGGGAGAAAAATAGACAGAAAAAGCCCGTTGACGTGGCATGCCAGCTAGACCTGACAAATTGTGACCCGTAGGTCAGAACGCACGCAAAATTTAAAAGAGGATAAATTGTGGCAACACTTGTGCTAAATGGGGTAAAACGGATGAAATCCCGCTAAATGGGGTAATTAGTGTCAAAAAAAAGTCAAAATAGGGGGTAAAAACCGGAATTCACTCTAGAATAAATAACACTATGTCATCAATTGCAGAAATCAGGCCTGCCTAGTTCATATTTGTAGTAGATACTCCAATTCTTGTTCAGTTTGAAGTTTATAGTGAGAAGAACAAACTGATGTTCTGAACATGATACTGGTGGAAGTGCAGCATGAACAATGTTGTCACACGTGGCTTTAACACCTTTCGGAGCCATTTGGTTTCCACCTTTCAAAATAATCTTTGTGATGTAAACTATTAAACTATTAAGATGATGATTTTGTGATGTAAATTATTAAACCATGCATCAATGATTGTCATTTGGTACTTTGTTTGAAAGTTGATTGTGTTCTTGTTGTCATAAATTGTGAGATGTCAAATGATAGATTTAAAGGTTGGGTCGAGGCAAAGACTAGAACCCTCAAATCCAATCCTTAAAGCAGTTTAAGGGTTGGGTTTGAAGGTTCTAGTATTTGCCCCTGTTTTTCAACCCTTAAAAGTATCAAAAAATGGCACTTCTCAACCCTTAAAACTGCTTTAAGGATTTGAGGGTTTGAAGGTTCTACTAGTAATGCTCTAAACTATATTCCACTCTCAGCAACTCCACTTGGTTTTCGCCTGTCAGCTCTTCAGCGGATCTAGCGTGTGTGCATGCATAAACGGCCGGGTTTCAACGGAGGCTCGCCAATGTTCTTTCTTTGCCCCAGCTTGTACAACGTATGGTCACTCAGTATTTCGTTGGTTAAGGAATACAGAACCAGTAGCAGATGATAAGTATTGATGTGCTGAGCAACTGATTCCTGGCGAAGAAACAGAACACAAGTGATCAAGTATCTTCTTCCACAACTAACAAGAAGCTGGACAGCCGTGTGCGCGCAACATCATCTTCTTCTTCTTGCGCAAGTTGAAGAGTCGGAGGGGGACGAATCCCAACCGCTCCGCCGTCCCTCGCGCCAACAGTAAAATATCACTTCTCTCAAAGAAACAGTAAAATATACCACGAATCCAACAAAAAAATACAGTAAAAATAACACGGGCGGGAGGACGAAGAAGAATCCTCAGTTCATCAGCCGCGCGCGCCATGGAACTTTTGCAGAACTGTCGTCGGAATCGGGGGGTTTCTCCCGTGCTGCAAGTTGGTCGCCTGCTCCGGCCGGAGGCACGGGTGCCGCCCGCGTGACGCGATCAAGCGACGGCGAGACGCCACTGATCTCTGGAGCTTATCCAAAACCGAAACAACGGGAGATGCATCCACACTCCAGAAACAGAAACAGAAACGGGAGCAGAATGTTGTAGCGGCAAACAAATCATCCAAAGACGGATAAGCCTCCGGTCACAGGACAGATGAGATGCATGTATGTGCCTTCAATTTGTCACTCATCTAGTATTGATGTATATCCAAAAGACCAAAACCAAGCGGAGCTGTACACACCTATGTACACCTAAAAGCTACGTATCTAATTGATCAGGCCCGAATCGAATTGGGTCTTAAAACTCCAATCTTCCTGGCCGGCCTAACCCCCACCGATCTTCTATATACAGCGACGGGATTATTCGGGGAATTTGTTTCCTATGTACACTTTGTGCAGTATGTACTAGCGGTATCTTTGCTATGGCATGCCGAGGATGTTGTCTATTTACTGGCGGCCGGCGGCGGCGGAGAGCCGGCTGGGCCCGGCGTGGAACTGCTCCACCACTCGCTTCCGGTGCTGCAGCTGCTGCACTGCGTGGGACGGCACGAGCGCCTTGCGTGCCCAGTGCCCGCTCCCCATGGGGACGCGCTGCGCCAGCCCGCTGTACGAGCATCTAGAGCAGCCGCTGCCTCTGGGGACGAGCTGCGCGAATGGGCTCGCCGTGCGCTTCGACGGCAGCGAAGGCGGGGAGACGGGCCTGCTGGTGCTGCCAGCCTGGGCCGCCTGCTTGCGCTCCTTGTGGAGGCTGCACCGGAAGGAGCCCGGGTGGTTCGTCGGGGAGCACATGCAGGACCGACGGATCTTGGGGGCGGCGGTGGGGGAGGAGGGGGGAGAGGAGACGCTGACGGACTTGACCGGCGACGGCGAGCCACCGGCGGGGAGCTTGACACGGGAGAGCGAGGCGGATTGGTAGTTGGGAAAGGGGCTCAAAAGGATGGGGCCGCTTGGCCGAGATGCAGCCGCCGTCGACATGATGAGAGATTGGGGAGGTGGAGGCGGAGTTGAGAATCAGAGGAGAGGAGGGGCTTTGGTGTCTCAGTTGAGCTCCGGTGGTTAGCTGCCGGTTTGGGTAAACTAAGATGGGAGCCGGTTGGCCGCAATTTATAGGCCGGGGAGGGCGAGAGGAGGGGCAGTTTGGTAAAGTTAGTGGCGGAGAAATCCTGCAATTTGGTCAAGTTAGGCCCTGTTTGATAGCAAAGTATTTTCTAAATATTTTGAGAATACTACAGTTTTTTAGATTATCAAAATTTTATCTACAATGAGTTGTTTGGTTGCCCATAACAACCGTGCTTTTAATATTGTAGTATTAGGCAAACAACAGTTTTTTCTCTGCATAAAAAAAAGAACCCCAAACCTCTTTTTTAAAAAGAGAGCTGTTGAGTGCTTAAACACAATGGCTAAACAGCAAAATTTACAGCGTTATACGGCAACAACCAAACAGGTTCTATGTATTGTGAATACTGCAAAATACTCTGTTTTGATAAAACTATGATATCTCGCACCTACAGACAAAATTACTGTAGTTTTTGATACTTTGGTTTATATAATACTTTGCTATCGAACACAGCCTTAAACTTTGTTTCTCCACAAAAAAAAGTAAAACTAACTGAGGTTATGGGTAGCACACGGGAACCGGTCTTGGGCTCATGCATGCTAACTTGCTTTCAAATACTACTGATTTATTTCAGTGTCAAAGTTCTGGTCAATTTCTTGCATTACAAACCAGCATCTTGCTACCACTCCGTATTAGTCATGTCAAACGAGTACGTAGTATATTCCAACGATTTGTGCACCAATGAATGTGAATAGGAACATATGGTGGTCGTTTCCGTGTGAACCGCACTGATTCGTGTGACTTTCTCTGTTCATCAAAAGCGTCTTGCAGAAGCACTGACAGCACACAGCACACAGCGCATGTGCCGGTTGGGCCGGAAATTGGGCAATGTCGGTATTTTTTGTTTGGCAAACAGCAACGTCGATCTGCATCCGGCGTCCTCTATCCGGTTGTCAGTAAACCGGTTCCGGCACACTGAAAGGCCGGTCCCAGAAAAAAGGAAACTATGCTTGAAACGATCAGAGCCATGGCCAAGTTGGCACGACGAGGACGCGCCAGCAGCCGGCCGCGACCAGCCCCCGACCGCCGGCCGTGGGATCACCCCCGCTTTGCTTGAAACGCGGCTGACCACTGAACGCTCAACATAGTGGCATCGGCGGCAACATCAGTCGCCGTGATGGCAGTGTCCATCGGCTCCGCCCAATCCGTCTACTCGCGCCCGCATATGTTGGTTCGTGGAGTCCGCGCGAAGGAAGGGTCCGTGGAGCCCGCCGGCGATGTGCCTGTGATCCGGCCGGCTCCGCCGCGATAGGATGCTCCGATCGCTGTTAGCGCATGGCGTCCGTCGATTCCGGTCGACCCATACGAGACGATGGAACGTGGCCGTCTCTTTCGCCTTCTCATTGGATGGCACGCGCTCCTGTCTCTTGTGCTTCGGCGTGTGCATTTTTACTGTGAACGAACGGCCGGATGTGGAAAGATGATGATCGACAAACCACCCTCGTAACCTGCGTCGATTAATGGCTAAAGTAATCCTTGCAAGGTTAATTACTGGGGCTTAATTACAGCCGTGCGCTTCTGCACCTGACCCTGGCCACATGCATATGCATATTAATTTGTGCTGGCCACAGCAAAGCACTGTTAAGACCATGGCAGGCCGCTTCTGCACCTGACACAGCTTGCTTGCCCCGCAGGTCCATCGTTCCGGACGGCATGAACGAACCAACGGGGTCAGCCGCGCGCAACGTCTGCATGGCGGGAGGGGGTGCGTGGCGCCGGCCGGCTGCGACAGCTAGCTTGGATGGGGAGTGCTTGGCCAGTGCTTTGTTTGTCTCTCTGGCCGCACCTTGTCCTGTGGATTCGACATGCATCTCTCGGTGGTTGATGAATGCTCCACCTTGATCAGATCAGATGGCCTACTGGTTTTTATATTGGCTCTGTTTGGATTCTTAAGTTAGAGTTAGTTTTAGTTAATTGGGGCTTAAATAACTCATTAGTATCCAAATATAATGGGTAAGTTTGGGTTAGTTGGATCTAACCCATCTAAGAAAACTAGCCCACACTAGAGGAGTTTATTTGGGTTAGTTCTCGGGCCTACTAGAAAAAATAGTAAGAAAAGTTACCTCTCCCATCCAAACAGGGTCCAAAGTAGTCAAATGATTGAGAAAGAATATTTATTGTCAATCTAACCCGACCATCTAAACAACCTTTTAATTAGAGTTAGTTTATGATTAGAATCTAACTCTAACCTCTAGCTGAGTTAGAGTATCCAAACAGAATCATTGTGTCGCCCTTTTCATGTTGTTGAAGGAAACAGTGCCGGCACATTGTATTTGTCCGTATATTCCAATGGTTGTTCGTGCTTATAGTGCTACACATGCCTCAACTGCATGGTTTTCACTTTCAACGAGACTTTAATGAAATTCATTGGAAAACCATTAATTACGTTTCGGCCAAAATATTTCAGTAGAACAAAGGAATTCAAATATTGTATTTTAAAAAGAAAATTGAAATCTTAATTGATTTAAACTGAATATGTCAGTCCTTTGGTTGGAATGCAAACATGAATTACTTAAATTCACTGAATTTTGGTGATTTTGACTGATGCTGAAATTTTTCTGAAACTAAAATTGAAAACCATGCCCACCTGTTTTTTTTCTGACAGCAAATAGACTTTATTCCCCACATAATAGACAAGTAATTTACAAAAATAGGATAAATAAAGTCTGGGATAGAACTATCCTAAAATTCCGAAGATCTAATGGTAAGAGAATTTCTAGCCAGGCTATCTGCTACCTCATTCGCTTCGCGAAAACAATGCACAAAGCAAGTCTTTGCAAATTTCAACTCCATTTGCTTACACTCCATGATGATAGCCGCCTCAGGACCAAAGTATGCTTCTTGTAGATTAAAGGTTTCCACTGCAACCGTACGGTCAGATTCAACGATCACCGAATTACACCCAATCCTTTCTGCGAGTATCATTCCATTTCGGACCGCAACTATTTCAGCTGCATCAACATTACTAATATGTGGTATGAACCAGTTAGCTGCTGCAATAAAATCACCTCTGTCATCACGAGCAACAGCACATGTAGGTCCAGATAAATTTTAAGCACAAAAGGAGGCATCAACATTTATTTTAACTGCCCCCTCCATCCGGCAGTTTAGGAGTTGTCGCTCTAAGAAAGTTAGTGCAGATAATCTTAATTGCAGTAGCGGCCGGTGCAGTTAGGGGCCAGAATATTTTCTCCCTTCACGAATTGTCGTTGCTGCCACCAGATGAACCAGGTTGCAACTGCAACTAATTCGGGCAACGGCAAATCTCCTACAGTAACTTGAGCCCTACAAATGATCTCCATGGTGACTGATCCAGAACGGTCTTCAGCAACTGCTTTTGTGATAACATCTACCAGATCAAGTTCAGACCAAATTTCAATAGCACGAGGGCAAGTGAATAAACAATGCCGTGCCCACCTGTTTATTGTTACAGCAGGGGTAAATTGAGAGAGAACAAGCATACAACGGTTACAGAAAATATCAGGGTGCTGTGCTAAATCTTGTTGATCCGTTTGGAAAGAAGAAGATCTTGTTGGTCTTTTTCGTCCAAAGCATATATGCACGGTACGTGCATGCCAAATCAAATTAGGCTAAGCTTGGTCCGACCAAATCTCAATGTAGCATGATCTCAGGAGATTCACGTATGCAATCGGAAATCACCCTATCCTCGCCTGGTTTTTGTCGCACACTCACAAGTGAAGCAATATCAGACGATATGTAGCTGCGTATCCTTAATCAGCACGGAGAAGCTAAGGTTCGGTAACGACGGGTGCTCGTGCATGCCAGGCACGTAGACACTGACGTGCGAAGCCACCGGCCAGTTCGGGCGTACGCGTGCATGTGTCACGAGACTGGGAAGTTTCGACGGTGAAGTCACTCGGTTGTCCGTTGCATTACCCCCAGCACCGGCAAGCACGCGTCGCATGTGGAGTGGTCGGCGTCTCGACGAGGCACCTCCTACGCTGCTAGCTCCATCTAGCTACACACGCGCGCTGAAAGAGATGCGAGGTCGCGCACGTACTGCGCTTCTCCGCCATGCATGGCCATGCACGCGCGCCACCTAGCGAGCACCTTAATTTTCTTCGGGCGCATCGTGTCGTATAATAATCCAGCACCTCTCGTTCTCTTGTGGTACGTGGATGCGTGGGTAGGTCGACCGAGTCGGCATGGCACGCACGTTGATCCATCGATTGCTACGTGCGGCTGCATGTGCCCGCCGCGAGGCATACGTACGTAGTAGTACATGCGTGGCGCCTCTCCAACCATACAATACTCTGATAATGATATGCATATATAGGAGGTGGCTAGCAAGCTAGGTGCTGCTGCAATACCAGGATTGACACGTGCCCACGTCCGGGAATCGATGCATGCCTGCGTGCTTCTGTTGGGTGCAACACTCCAGCACCATGGCGGCCGTTTGATTTTTAAAACTGAACCTACTGTTCCAGTTTGCGATATTCTATCAGGTATATATAAAGAGGCCGGCAATCGATTGATCGCGGACAGCCCATGCTGCCGTACGTAGGCACAGACCTCATAATTCACCCTTTCATTCCCGTTATTTGTTGCAGTCCTATGTACGTACTTCCTACATTACATAATATAAACGTGTTTTTAACACTGAGTACTTTATACAGTCTCTTTAGAAGTATATACTTTAGGAGACGGTCGGGCTGTCAAAGCTGGCCGAGGCGTAACGGTACGTACTCTATTTACTGCTGTTCGTGCTGGCCATGGGTTATCGAAAGAAGTCTACATTCTGTTCTTATATGCGAGGGAAATATTTTTGGATATCTGCATTCTGTGGGTGGGCAAACGAACGACATGACAACTGTATAGAGCACGGGAATGACCACCG